ATCACACGGTGTTACTATCAGCAAACGTACTCGTGAAAGCGCCAATTTGTTGGGATCCGTTTTTGAGTGCGCGTTCCTCTGCGCCATATGCTAACAAGAAAGCGACCTCATTCACGTAAATTTTTGATTGGCAGAGTTAACTCGAAATTTCGAGAAAATAACTCGAAATTTCGAGTTATGGATACTGGCTTTTTTGTTTTTATTTAGTGGCGGAAACGGGCTTCCATACACCTGAGCAGGTTTTGATTACCTGCAGGTTCACAGTCTCTGTGGAGATCAATGCATCGGATAACTGCTGACTATGCAATCATCAGTTTTTAAGTTTCAGTTTTCAAAAGGTATCAGCATGTACAAACATCGACCAGTGGATGGAAATAGCAGAAATTGCTGCTGAAATTTCTAGGTACACAGGAAACCCTGAAAACTAGCTAGCCACAAAGTAGCTCAATAATTGACAGAAAATTAAAAATCATAAAACACGTCACATTTTCTGCCCATTCTCATGTTTAATTTAATTCAGTCTTAGAATCACTGCCTATGTGCTAAAAACAGCGTAGGATTTTATTTCCTTTTTCAAAGCACAGAGCTGCAAGGCCTGTCCACATATCTGCTAACCCCCAAACGTCGGCCTTTAGACCCACAGGCTAAATTGGGTGCAAAATGTTAACCACAGGTTAGGTAGTGCCAGCTTCGTGCAAGTTTGTCTTAAAAATATGTGGTTTCTGGCACAATATAAACTCCTTAATTACATAATAAGTTATGTATAAGTTGTATCGTGAAAGAAGGGAGATCCATGTCCCTGTACGTGAAGAAGTTGTTTTCCTCACCGCTTCAGAGAGGATTGAGGTTTTTTTTTCACTTATATCAGATTCAACTGTGTCCATCAGAACATCAGGTAAGAGTCTGAGAGGAGTGTCTAAACATGGTTAGCCTATAGCTTAGCATAAAGACTGGAAGCTGCCTCCAGATTTGATGACATCATCAGATCAAATAACCTGTGCTTAATTTAACGAATAATTTGAACACCTGCAGCAGCTGTTTTGGACCCCATGTTTTAAGCCTCATTCAACCTTCACAGAAACACAGTAAATGAGCACAAATGACTTCATCCGACTCCCCGAGGATGTAGGACACTGAATATTGTAATTATTTAGACTTTGTTTTAAACTTACTAAAATGAAGTGTAAATATTTTGTCAAAATATCAAATGTAATAAAGTTTCACCAACCTGTTTGTAACTTTATCCGTTTCTATCTTTACATGTAAAAATGTCCAGGATGTAAAATACCGGCCCGTGTAGTCTAAATGAAGGTAAAAGCAGGATTGTCATTAATGAAACCTGCGTTTCCAGTCAGATCATAAAAATGTCTTAAATTATTGAACAGTTTAATAGATGGAAAATTATGGAAGAATTGTATAACCGTCACAGCTGGTTTACAGGTCAAAACCCCAAACGGTTGTTTTTCCTCTACTTCCAGTCTTTGTGCTAATAAGTTAATCACATCCCTCGTCTTACTTTGAGCTGCTGTTCTGCTTTAACTCTTGGCAGAAACTCTGATACGTGAACTAGCCGGTTTTTTACACTAAAAAACTGAATTTGCTTCATATTTTTGATGTTTTGTTGCTACTATGCCATCAAAAACTGTGGAAAGTCCTAATGATCTTATTTTATGCACAAAAATGTGTTAAAATAAGAAAGTGAAATACCAAAAAAAACAAAAATATATGAACATTATTTTACTTACATATTTTTCATTTGGAGTTTGAGCTCCGTCAGATATTTACAGCAGTGCTTCCTCTGCACTGAAAACCAAACAGCACTGGGGTGCTGCAGAGGAGCTGCTCACAAACTGATCCCCCGCTGAGATCACCTCTTTGTTTTTGGATGTTGTGTAATGATGAAAGTGATGTGCATCAGCATCATCAAGTGAAAGCTAACCGAGTGGGAGACATTTTGCTTTACAGGGATTTTAGTGTTGTAGTAGGTTTGCAGGAGAAATAATCACTGAGTGTGTTTGTTGTGTTTCCAACTGACGACCCTGCTTCTTCTTTTTCACCGCTACATGTCTACTGTACACCGTATTCTCTCTCAGACTGGAACTACAACTGGACAACATCTAACAATTGACATGTCTCTGCTACGCTGTCTTAGAAGGAAAATTACCATAATTATCCTAAATAACTGTAGCAAAGGTGGCTGTAAATGTCTGTATATAAGATAAATAAATAAAAAAACCTACCTTACTTTCTGTGTGACTTCTTCTAATATTTCACAGTAAGGACAGTAAAAGCTGAGTTTGCTCGATGTTGAAGATACCATTATTTTTTTAGAGACGTCTCTTTTTAATGGAGGTAATTGGGGACTTTTTCAGTGAAATACTGCAGTTGACCACTGGGACTCAGCAAATGACACTGACTACAGTGGATGCAAAACTATTCGGCCCCCTTGAACTTTCCCACATTTTGTCCCATTACAGCCACAAACATGGATCAATTTTATTGGAGTTCCACGTGAAAGACCAACACAAAGTGGTGCACACGTGAGAAGTGGAAGGAAAATCAGACATGACTCCAAACATGGCGGAAGTAGTTGCCTTTGGCCCCTCCCCCGTTGCCTCCCTCCGGTCCCTGGTTGCCCCTTTGGACCTTCCCTGGGCAGGGCGCCGTGCCCTACAGGGGTGTGAGGGTTACTTATGCTCTGCTGGTGGCCATTTTGTCACTCCCGCTATAGGGCTGCAGGCGGGCTGGGGGTCCGCCCCAATCCTCACATAGCCTGAGAGGCTATGTGAGGATGGTGGCTGCAGCGTTCACTCCCATGGCCCCGCCTCTGTGAGGCCCGGGCTGGTGGGGGTTGATTATCGTGAGGTGGCTGTTGAAGAAGCTTCCATCCTCTCTGGCTACCACTGGAGTGGGACCCGGACGAGTGAACCCATGTCTGGGTCGCCTGATTGCGGGCCCCTCCCACAGCGTTCCCTCCCGTGGGCTTGCCTTCTTGAGGCCTGGGTTGGTGGAGGTTTGATTGTCAGGAGGTTGATGCTTATGATGCTTGGCTCGGCTTGCGGTTGACAGTTCTCCGGCCTGCGGCGCTGGCTCACTGCCTGGCATGTTGTCTACATGTTGCGGGTCCCTGTGGCCGGAGGGGCCCGCTCAGTGAGCTGCCACTCCCGGCGTGTCACGTCCCTGGCTGCACTGCTGCTCCGGGCTGTCTCCCCCTGGCGTGTTGCCCGCATTCGCCTGCTTACGCGCCAGTTGGGCCTCGCTGCGGCGAGTGTGCGTTCTCCAGCCTTTAGCTGGGTTCTCTCTGGCATATCAGCTGCTGCGGCTCCTGGCTGTGTTCCCTCAGACACAGCGAGCCGGGCCTTGCTGTGTCTGATTCTTCAGCCGGCGAGTGAGTGTTCTCCAACCCGCAGCGTCAGGCTCCCTGCAGGCGGTTCGTCCGTTACATGTTAGTCTGTTACATTTGCCGGCTTGCCCGCCGGTCGGTCCTCGCTGTGTCTGATGCCTCAGCAAGTGAGTGAGTGTCCCCCAGCCCGCGATGCTGGCTCCCTGTTGGTGCTTGGCCTGTGTGTCATGGACTTACACGGCCAGCACAGGGACGCCCAGTAGCTGGGACTATGTGTCTGACCTCGAGTGTCTCATTGCGAGTTCACTCTTGAGGCTCCTCTGTCTACAGACAAGCACGTGGTGACGGTGCTGGGGGTGGACCTTCGGGTCATCGCCTTGCTCAGCCCTCCACTTACGCAGGCTAGGCTGCCAGCCCCCCGTCTGTGAACAGCTCGGGGTGGCTCCGGCTTTGGGGATGGACCGGTCACATCTCAAGCTTCACCTGCAGTTGAGTTCTCCTAGGACGGTTGGTCACCCTAAGATAAACCAGCCAAAGCAGAGATAAAAACCAACCAATGGGAAAGTTTATGGATATACAGGAATGACCGTCATCAGTATCATACAAAGAACAGTGATGTACACAATTTTCACAGCCAATAATCTCATATATATATCTCATAGTCAATACACAAAGGGACACTGTGAAAATCAGCTGAAAATATATTAGCAGCAGTAGTGCCGCACCTTTTTTATTTACATATTAAAGCTTCTTCTAGCTAAACGGGTCAGAAAAGAGGAACAGAAGAAAATATTTATAGATGCAGGAAAACCGGACATGCAAAGGGTTGATGTGACAGAAGAGGAGGTGGAGACAGCTTACCAGCTCTGGGAATAATAAACACTCTTATGTTACATTAACCCCTAAAGGAACATCTCAAAGAAAAAGAAGAAATGTGCTACTTGCTGCCACATGTTAAACATATTTTTATGTCTTACTTTACTTTTAAAATCTAAAAACCTTTTTTTTGTTCATCTGAAGCTAAAAGTAGAACATTTTGTTTTTATCAGATTGCTTCAGTTTGTTTTGAGGTGATTCACTGGAGTGTGTATCAGGTACACCTGTGACGTCATTGCACCTGTGAACAAGCAAGACTCACAAAAGCCTCACTCGTCACCAAACACGGGCTTCAGTAGAACCTCATTAACCAAAGATGCAGGCAGTGAGCATAAAACCAACTGGTGTCGAATGCAAATATTTTCCCTATAATCACTTTGCATGAGACAAGCTGAAAGATCAGTTGCATGTTCAGTCGGATAAGAAACACGAAGCAGACAAGTATGGAAAAGGTTTTTCTGTTTATCGTAGCTGCATCAGGCGAGTATTTTAATGTGTTTTTAACATTTTTCTTTAATGCAACATCAGCACTGTGAAACCTTTAGGAACTATTATGTTAGCTGTACAATACTTTTCTCTTTCATTGCTGTGCTGGAAACAGAATCATAGTTTGCACCAAATTGTTAAATCATTATATACTCGAAACATTAAAATTCTAAGTTATTTTACTGCACATAAAAGTAGATATTATTACATTAAAATATAATGACAAAGTTAAGATGGATTTCTTTTGTTTTAAGCATAAATATAAAATCAGTATTCACATCTATATCTGCAGGGCTGTGTTCAGGCTCCTCATATGTTAAGCGTCAGTACCATTTTGTTTATGACTGGAAGAACTGGACTGATGCTCTGAGTTACTGCAGAGAGAGATACACAGACCTGGCCACCATAGAAAACATGGAGGATGTGAGGATCCTGCAGAGCATGGCAGACTCAAGTAAAATGAACTACGCAAAATACCCAAATGTGAGTACACTTTTTCTCTTCCTCTTTTTCTTTTTGCCTGTCCTGTTTGGTTCTTTAGCAATCAGAATTACTGTCTGAAGGCCAAGAGAGATGCTCAACAGATTTACTTTACCAAATGGATCATCACAGCCTTGCTGTATTGGTCCATTTGATTGACCTTTGTTATTATTTTATTTTATTAATTTTTTAAGTTATTAGAAACAGGAAAGACATGACTGAGGGATAGGAAAGGGAGAAAGAAAGAGAGAGAGAGAGAGAGACAGAAAGAAAAAAGGGAGAGGAAGAGGGACAGTGAGAGAGAGAGGAAGCTTTAAAAAAAAGAAGAAAGAAATCAGCTGTTACCTGTTGAGAGAAAAAAAGAGAAAGCAAGCAAAAAGACAGCAACACAATACACACAACATCACTGCAATAAACTAAATAAATGTAAGTAACAGTAAATACTAAATACTGAATGTTATTGTGCAGCACGCATGTGCTTTGAGGTAGCAACCAAGAAAGGTGTCGTTTTTGATCACGTGTGTGTACACCTGTATGGATCAACACGTTTGTATTCAAAAGGTTCGTCCATGTAACGATCTGCTTGAGGGTGTGAGGAGCATGAAGCAGGCATGCAAGAGATCCAGGCCCCAGAGTGCGAGAGCCAAAGAAGGACCAACAAAAGGGGCTCCTCAGCTTTTTTTTTTTAACGGTATAAACAATGAAATGTGGTGGATTGGCCAGATGCTGGCAGATGTGTAAAAATAACTCAGTTGTTTGGTGGAGGCTATGGCGGAGCTTCCACGGAGGCCAGCAGGTGGATGAGGGAAAGGGGAGGCAGGAGGAGGAGAGACCCGAGGCGGATCAACTGGTCCCGTAACAGACTTGACCCCCTGCTGGGCTTGGGAGAGCCCGATTGTCCTGCGGAGCCGTTTGCTGCCAGATACTCGATGGTCGGTTGCATCGTGTCTGGCAACACTCTCGATGGAGGACATTGAACGACATCTACCAATTTGGAACCACGATAACAGAGTTCTGGCTGATTGGACCCGGCTTATTGAAGAACAAGAAGCAGCTACAGCTGTTCAAAATCACATAAGGCTGTTCGACATGATAAACGATTGGCAGGGCTGTGAGTACTCAGACTGTGTTTTGAACACAATATGGATAAGATCTTGGAGAAGCTCATGGCTCTGCAATATGGATAACACATAATTGAGAGAATTAGACCAACCGTAAAAATTAGATGCAGTTGTTCGCACTGGCACCAGCTGAAGGCCTGCCAAGGTTGAAGCTGACTGAAACAACAAAATTCTCCATGATAACAGGATTGTTGTCAGAACCCTTTGTCCCTCCTTCAAGGCCATCGATGGCCGTGTTGATCTTCCACAGACCTACACTCACCCCCCACCCCCTCCGAACGCCTTTGAAGCTCATGTCTTCTGTGTTGTGAGATGTGATGATTCATGTGCTGAGGTGTTTTTTCTGTTCTCAAACTGATCTCCCTGTTGGAGCTCAGTCTGGGTGGAGTTCTTTTTTCTCCTCGTCTTTCCTCATGTTGTGCATTTTCCATTGTTATACCTCTCTGACCCGTCTTCCCCATGTGATGTTTGTGTAATGTATGTATGGTCGGAGGGTAAGATGGCGCTGGCAAGGCTGGCAGCCTTAACCCAATCAATCATTCAATGTTGCCACCACCCCTCCGACTTGGGCACCATGTGAAGTGGAGAGGCCCAGGCACTGTTCGAGCGCTGCGCAATGCCCAGGCGCTCCATGGCCTCAAACTCCTCCTGGGTGATTGACAGTTTCGCAGGGTAGCGGCTACGCACGCACGCAAACACTGGGGGACCAACCGTGGCGATGTAATCCTCAACCCTGTATTTTGCGGCCGTGCTGGAGAAATTAGGAGTTGACAGCAGCAGAAACTCTTACAGCAAACGCTGAAATACGTCCTCGGAGGCCACCAAACTGGCCCCAATAAGGGAGTGGGCGGCCCGGGTTAGACAGGGTAGTGAAAAGAACAGCATCAATCAAACATCTGTGAGCAACGTTGACTAACAGTCCGTGGGCACAAAAAAAATCGGTGCCGAGCTGGCAGCAACAAAAAAGTTCCACTGGAATTTCCGGCCGTGGAAACTAACAGTCACTAACCTTTCCCCATAAGTTGCAATACTAGAACCGTTAGCCGTAATCAGCTGCAGTCCGTGGCTTGCCGCTAAACTGTCCGCAGCGGTGGGTGGGATGGGGCTCTTCTGGGAGCCAGAGTCAACCAGCACGAGTCTTCAATGAAGAGCATCGTCAGCGACCGTGGCCGCTCCTGCACGGCAGCCCCGTTTCACTGAGCCAGAAAAAGAGCAGGGCGGCAGGCAGCGATGTGCTCTGGCGCCAAAACCGCCATACCAAGCATGTTGCTGAATTTTGCAAAGGATGTATGGAGGGAAGGGAAGCTGGCAAGGTGTTGGTAGAAGGTTTGCGGCTGCTTTAGTAAATAAGGCGTTTGGTGTGTTTGTTGGATTGCCGGAGAAAAAGCGATGGACGCAGAGCTTGAGTAGTTGTTCATCTGATGCGCTGACAGACGAGAGGACGACTGTAGCGAATGGAAGTGTGAGTAAAATTATGTTACTCCTGTGAGAAAGCTGTGTTTAAAGGTATCCGCTGAGAATGGACCCTGTTTGCACGTAAACGAGAATGAACAGCTAGCAGAACTGGAGGAACCTATATAGATGACAGCCGGAAGGAGCGTGTTTGGAGGCGTGGTCCTGCTCCTGAAATTCCGATACATAATCTCCAATAAACTTTATAGAAATTGGGTTAAGGTACTGCCTGCAGTGGTTTGTATCATATCTATCTAATAGACTCCAGTTTGTGCATGTAAATGGAGAGTCCTCTTCACACACTGAGGTTAATTATGGAGTTCCACAGGGTTCAGTGCTAGGACCAATTCTGTTTACATTATACATGCTTCCCTTAGGCAGCATCATTAGAAGACATAGCATACATTTACACTGCTATGCAGATGACACCCAGCTCTATCTGTCCATGAAGCCAGATAACACACACCAATGAGTTAAACTGCAGGAATGTCTTAAAGACATAAAGACCTGGATGGCCGCTAACTTTCTGCTTCTTAATTCAGATCAAACTGAGGTTATTGTACTCGGCCCTGAAAAGCTTAGAAATATGGTATCTAAGCAGATTCTTACTCTGGATGGCATTACCTTGGCCTCCAGTAACACTGTGAGGAACCTTGGAGTCATTTTTGACCAGGACATGTCCTTCAACGCACATATTAAACAAATATGTAAGACTGCTTTCTTCCATTTGTGCAACATCTCTAAAGTTAGAAATATCCTGTCTCAGAGTGACGCTGAAAAACTAGTTCATGCATTTATTACTTCCAGGCTGGACGACTGTAATTCATTATTATCAGGAAGTCCTAAAAACTCCCTGAAAAGCCTTCAGCTGATCCAAAATGCTGCAGCAAGAGTCCTGACAGGGACTAGAAAGAGAGAGCAGATTTCTCCTGTTTTGGCTTCCTGTTAAATCCAGAATTCAAAATCCTGCTCCTCACATACAAGGTCTTAAATAATCAGGCCCCATCTTATCTTAATGACCTTGTAGTACCATATCACCCTATTAGAGCACTTCGCTCTCGCTCTGCAGGCCTACTTGTTGTTCCTAGAGTATTTAAAAGTAGAATGGGAGGCAGAGCCTTCAGTTTTCAGGCCCCTCTTCTGTGGAACCAGCTTCCAGTTTGGATTCAGGAGACAGACACTATCTCTACTTTCAAGATCAGGCTTCAAACTTTCCTTTTTGCTAAAGCATATAGTTAGGGCTGGACCAGGTGACCCTGAATCCTCCCTTAGTTATGCTGCAATAGACGTAGGCTGCCGGGGGATTCCCATGATGCATTGAGTTTTTCCTTTCCAGTCACCTTTCTCACTCACTATGTATTAACAGACCTCTCTGCATTGAATCATATCTGTTATTAACCTCTGTCTCTCTTCCACAGCATGTCTTTATCCTGTCTTCCTTCTCTCACCCCAACCAATCACAGCAGATGGCCCCGCCCCTCCCTGAGCCTGGTTCTGCTGGAGGTTTCTTCCTGTTAAAAGGGAGTTTTTCCTTCCCACTGTCGCCAAAGTGCTTGCTCATAGGGGGTCATATGATTGTTGGGTTTTTCTCTGTATCTATTATTGTACGATCTACTGTACAATATAAAGCGCCTTGAGGCGACTGCTGTTGTGATTTGGCGCTGTATAAATAAAATTGAATTGAATGGAGATGCTTGCCCCCCACCCGAATCATACGGCGGGTCAGCTGGACTCCTCAGAGATACCGTGACCCAATGCTGCTGTCTACATTGCCTTATTGTAACCCTACTCACCCACCCCTGTTGCTTGTCACGTGTTTTCATGGTGTTACGTTGTGACAATTCATGTGCTTGTGTGCTGAGTAGTTTTTGTTTTCTGTTCTCGTAGTGATCCCCTGTCAGGAGCTCAGTCTGAGCAGAGTTCTATTTTTGCTCCTCCTCTTTTGTGTTGTACATTTCATTGTTTTTCTTTATGCTACCTATTCTGACCTGTCTCCTCAACGTGATGTTTGTTTATGGTTTCACTGCAGGCAACTGCAAGTGACAAATAAAGATCACCATCATCAAATGCTGTTTGACCAAGATCCAAAGAAATAGCAACTGATGACCTGATAATCACCCAGTTTACACAGAAATCAAAATATATGACTCGAAAATAAAAAAATACCGTTTTAGTTTCAAGGCTTTTTATGAAACAATTGAGATCAATAGTTTATGTCACAACACATTTCAATTGTTCCTTGCAGCGAGCTTGGATTGGACTGTACGATGATATGAACAGCTGGAGATGGTCAATGTCAAACACAGATTTATACAAAAACAGTGTGGCTTTCAGAAATTGGGAGCCTGGACAACCAGACAATTGGATGAGCAAAGAACACTGTACTGGGTTAAGGTGGACTGGCTCATGGACTGATGAAAACTGTAACAATACATTTAAAGCACTCTGCTCTGACATCAGAGGTGAGGATGTTAATTCATACACAACCCTAAAACAAAATTGTTTAAGTTCTACAAGTCTTTTCAATGTCTTTGGATTTTACATTTAAATATGTCTTGTTCTCCCTTCACTTTGGTTATTTTCCAGGACTGAATGTGACATTTGTCTTCATCAACAAATTGATGACATGGATGGAGGCCCAGAGCTACTGCAGAGCTAATTATACAGACCTGGCCAGCGTGAGAAACATGTCAGAGAACCAGAAGGCAAAGGAGTTGGTACCTGCAGGGCAATCCGCCTGGATTGGCCTTTTCAGAGACTCCTGGAAGTGGACGGATGGAATTAACTCCTCGTTTAGATACTGGAATACATATGAACCCAGTAATGTTGTCAAAAATGAATTTTGTGTCGCAGCAAACTTTGGATCTACTGGAAAATGGGAGGACTGGAACTGTGACCGGGAGACAGCATTTGTTTGCTACAGTGGTAAGTTCTGATTCATGTAGCTTTTAGTTTTGAATTTAGATGCAATTTTTTCAAATGGAGACAAGGCTGCTACCATCATCTCTGATCCTCACAGACTGCACTGCAGGCTGCTGTTTAACTTTACAGACAACGTATGTTTTTATGACAAAGGTCAATACAGTCAGCTTAGCTTAATATAAGAAAGTAAAAACACAAGAGCTTTAGTACAGTGTTGTGAAACTGATGTTGCTTCATTTCTGAAATAACGAATCCCTTTTATTTACCCTGAGAACGTTCAGGGCAGCAACAACAAAGTGCTACTGTACTGTGCACATGCAGCACTACTTATTTACTTTTACAATTAAACCCGTACATTTGTTCATTAATTACAAAGAGCCGGCTTACAAGCAAGTGGTGAGACTGAGAATGGGGAAAAACAACAATCAGGATCTGAATGACCCCACAGTGATGGAAGCCATGCTGGAACAGGTAATTATACAACTCATGATCTTAGTGCAGGGGTAAAACTAGTTCTGGCTCTCAAATGAAAATGCCTGAGCTCTCTACAGAGGCAGGATGTATTCGATTACTTTTTTCAGGTAACGAGTAAAGTAAGGGATTACTATTGCAAAAACGGTAATTAGATTACCTTACTTTCCCGTAGGAACGCTGCGTTACTGCGTTACTAAAACGTGATTTTTTTTGCAAGAATGTCTCATGACAGTGACGTAAGCGAGTGCGACGTTCGTGACAACAGCTGTGTGCAGATCAACAATGGATCACATATGGAGTGCAGAGAGAGTATGAGCGTGCAGCGTTTAAAGCGTGGAAGTACTGACCTTACTTTGAGTTTGATTCCATAAAAAGTGACAAAAACATTGAGTGTCCGCTGTGCGTGGGAAGAAAACTTCTTTTTACAGCGAAAAAAACCCCTAAACTTCCAACAAGCACCGAGTAGCTACGACGTAATGGGAAACTCACAGAGAAACTCGCGGATTCTTCCACTGACCGCGGCACACCTGCACCAGGGTAACCCTCCGCCTACCCCACTCCTGCTTTACAGGTGAAAATAGAGCAACAGGACCGCTGAGTCTTTGACTTTATTTATTTTCTGCTGTGTTTTACTTGCATCTATTTGAAAGACTGAGTGTAAACACAAAATATTTTATTTTATGTGCTGGAATGTGCAGAAAATAGGTTTAAATGTTAAACTAAATTTCTTCCAGTCAGAGAATGTTGCAGATAATTAAATTTTTGCTTGATGCATAAAGTTAAAAGATTAAAACTAATAAAACAAGTTTTAAAAAGAGACTTTTCCATTTGATTACATTTTGTATGATGGATTATGCAGAAAAAGTAGAATTGGGCTGAAAGATCTATCGCTTTATCACCTCTTCAGGTTGTAAATCGTGTTTTTAAAAAGTAACTAAGTAATTAATTACTTTTGGAAATAAGTCATCAGTAAAGTAACGGGATTACTTTTTTGGGGAAGTTATCAGTAATTAGTTACTGATTACTTTTTTCAAGTAACTTGACTAACACTGTTCATAAGTAATTAGTTTGAAGCTGCCTCATTTTTTGGCCCCACTCACCTCTTTACTGCTGTCCGCCCCTCAGTTTGATCTTCACCTGATACTGAGAGCTTTTTGGGGGAGGTGTGAATAAACACTGACCAGCAGTTGGTTGCTTTTGTTCAATAAAGACAAATGTATTTGATGTATGTGTTACGCCGCTGTGAGCCTTCACACATCAAACTGGTTTGAGTTTGAACAGTGACACATGAAAGGCAATCCTCTCTGTTCATTAATCACCAGCGGATGTTGCTGCTGATTTGTTTTTTTCACACCGCACCAGAACGGATGTCTGCAAGTTTCGGTTGTGGTGCTTCTGGCTCGCCCTACAAAAGAGTAGCAAGAATAAAGGGAGCAAGTGTTGGGTAATTTGTTTCTATCAGCTCAGCAAACACACAACCTGTTAGTGTGCTGTTTGTCTCAGAGTGTGTTGCTAACTAAAGGTCCAGCTGCTGCATGTCACAGGGAGAGAAAAGAAGCAGCTAACTTCAGTCAGAGATGGAGAAAGATAAGAAAGACAGGAAGGGAGAGGAAACGAGCTTAACTTTAAAGGGAACGACTGCTCATTCAAAGCTTACATGTACGTTATTTAAAGGCTGCATGAAAATCCTCTGCAGGTTAGTGCAGACAAACAGGTTACTTTTCTGAACTGTGATGGACTTAAAATAAAGAACTGTGTGTGAGTGGTGCACAGTCTCGTATAAAGACAGCAAATACTGTCAGTGTCGAGGATGGAAATCAGCCAGGGCAACATAAAACATCTGCTGACATCTGGCTAAAATCAGGTGTATAAATCTGCAAACAATATTATTACAGTAATGCACTAATAGAGCTCAAGGTTCAGTCAGTTTGCACAAAAATAGCTGGTAGAAATGTTATTCAAAGAGTTACTTTTTACATTCATTACTTACCCAAAGTAATGAATGTAAACAGTAACTCAAAGTAATGAATGAGTACTTTGAGACTGTTTTATCTGTTTAATTTGTTGTGGAATAATAAGGGAACAGACATCACCTGACTGAATAATTCATTACCTCTATTACCTCAAACTGTAGTCCTCTGAATACTGCCTGCCTTTATTTACCAATCAAGAAACGTATAAGCTGTCCACAAACGCTGGAACAATGTACAGGGTTAAATCAGTTACAGATGTGTGATCCTGCATCCTTGCAAAGCAGAGCGGTAAGCATAACGAGCTCTTAGTGAAGAGTTTTGTCTAAATGATATTCAGAAAAGCACTTTTTGTGTGTTTCAGTTCAAACAGAAGCTGAAGAACAAGGACGTAAAAGGAGACATCAGACTGAGCTGGAGGAAGCAGTCGGACGGGGAGGTCTTCCTCAGGGATGAAAAGCAAACCAAGAAGAACACGACCTGTAAAAATGACTTTTAAATGTTGATCAGGGCTTGTGTGTGGTTTGGTGTTGGGTTTTTTCATAGAGCACATTATAGTAATAAACGTGTTGGTGTTCTGGTTTTACTGTTATTCTGCATTTAGGAGTTTGATTTGTTTGTGTGTTTCTGGATTCATCTTTATTCTGGTAGATTGTAGTAGTAAAGTTTATTTATTAGGACTTCACTGAGACTTAAGTTTTGTTTTCATGTTATGGTTATTGATGCGTTTAAGTTCCTGTGTTCTGGTTTATGTCTGTAAGTAGGAGTTCAAGGTTTCTTTCATGTATCTGTGACTGTTCCTCTCGTGTCTGTGTAAATATCTCAGCACTTCGCTGTTCTCTACTCGGGCATCTTATCGAGGCCACGTCCACACTAATACATTTTCGTTTAAAAGCGCATCTTTTCCCCTCTGTTTTGGCCTTCTGTCCACACTGAGACGGCGTTTTCAGTGTGGATGAACAACTGTTCAGAAACGATTGAAAACGATAGAGTGGACGCCGAGCGTTTTCAGACGCCCATTTTCAAATGTATCCAGATTAGTGTAGACGTAGCCTAAGTGTCAGTATTCAGTCTGTGTTACTTCTGTGGTTTATTTCCTGTTTAAAATTGAAAGTTGATTTTTTTTTTTCATGTTTCATGTTAGTTTTACTTCCCGCTGTTTGGTTAGTCTGACTGTATTCAAAGTCAGCTTTACTGTCAAAATCATGCGAACTGCAAAGCTTCCACGGCCCTCCGTGTAAACTAAAACAATATTGAGATAAAAATAAAACAAAAGTCTGTCATCTTGTTGTAAAGCCCTTTTTGTTTTGGATTTACTTTATCAGTGGGATTAACACTTTCTTCAATTTTGTAAAAAAATATTGAAAGTTGAAGAAAATACTTCTGAGTGATCTGTCCACATCTTTCAAATACATCAAAATATGTAATAATCAGGCCTGTTTGGAAAACCCCAAAGCCCAAATTAGGGCAGCAAGCAGTCTGGCCTAACTTTGCTCCCACTAACTTTGCTACCCTTGAGCCAGATACCGACA